GATGGAATTCAAAACAGAGTCCTGCCGCCAAAGCACATAACCACACTGTGCAACATCACAAACGTCATCATGGGCTCCACCACTTCCCTTTGGTCTGGAAAGAAGTCACTGTCATCTGTCTTCCTAAAAAATGGAAACCCTTCAGCTCTCCCTCAAGCTACAGACCTATCAACCTGCTCAGTTCCTTGAACAAAGTAGTTGAACCAATCCTTCTCGATCGGCTCTTAGACCACGTGCAACAAAACAACCTTATCACCGTTCATCAACACGGTTTTCGTAGGCATCACGACACCGGCCACCAACTTTTTCGCGTATCTGAATACATTTCCGACAACCTTAAGAAGCGGCGTCACACGTCCATGCTTCTTCTTGACGTCCAACAAGCGTTCGACTAAGTCTGGCACGAAGACCTTATCTCAAAATTCATCGCCCTTAACATTTCACATTTTCCAATAGGGGTTATCAGGTCCTTTCTCACAGACAGATGCCTTGGGATCCGCGTCGGCTTTGTTCTCTCTGCCAGTAAACCCGTCAATGCCGGTGTCCCACAAGGCTCCAAACTATCACCTATTCTATTAAACCTGTTCTGTGCGGACATGCCCTCCGACCCTTCTATTTTGACAGCTCTCTACACAGACGACTTTGGCCTCATAAACTCAGCCCAAATCATTCTCCAATCCACAGGGAGAATTAATAAGTTTCTGCCCCTGCTACTAAACTGGTACCGAAAATGGAAACTTTCCATTAACGAGACCAAATCGGAAGCAATTTTCTTCTCTCGTATGTTCCGAAAACCTCCCTTCATCTTAGTCAACAACCGTCCCATTAAGTGGGGCAACTCTGTCACCTACCTAGGCGTCGTTTTTGACAGGACCTTAAACTGGCGGCTCCACATACGAAAATCCGTGCGTTTAACGCAATAATCAGAAGTATTTCATCCTACGCCATTCCCTTCTGGAGCTGCGCCCGTCCTCACCGCCTGAAACCTCTTCAAGGTACCTATATGCGGATCCTTCGGTTCGCACTAAACTATCCTTGGTTCGTCAGAAACATCCAAATTCTGAAAGAAACTGGTTTACCTTCTCTACCTGAGGCTGCAATCTCATTCGCAGCAACTCTCCGGGCCTCAGTATCAAGCCACGCAAATTCCTCCCTTTCGACACTCTCCAATTTCGCCACGAAGCCAAACGACCGTTTTCGAAGGCCTTGCCACCTTCTACAATGAGCCAATCCCTATCGCTCACTCTTAGCTTCGCTTTTTATCGTCCACCCATCACTCCCGAGGTGGACTACCTACTTCGACTGTCTTCGCCCCCCGAATCCCCCCACGCTTAACTATTTTTGCTTCTCAACCCTCTCCCAAATCCCAACCATCCACTTTTTTCCCGGGGATGAGTAACCCTCATGGGTTTATCTCCCGACTCGAAGAGGGGTTTTATATATTAGTAATTTGAAAACATAAAGAAAATTATTTGAAGTTTATGTTCCTACTCAAATGCTTTCTTTTTCAGAAGGTTTGAATTTTTATTTCTTATTTAATGGTTTACGTAGTGTTTGAAACCTATCTCTATATACTCCCATCTAGTTTTATTAATATTAAGTGAATCATTCACAGTGGTCTATTGTCTGTCTTTATCGATCGATCGGCGAACGGGAAAAGGGTTTTAACACAAAGAGATTGCCGCAGTGTGTAGTCTGTCTTGTTTCCTGCTTGCATGTGTTTCGGAGCCAAGCAATATTACTTTTTTTAATTTAATTTCCATTTTAATCGTACGTTTATTTTGTTATCTATTTGCTTGTTAGTACTGTTGTTAATGATTTATTCCCTTTACATTCGGAGTTCATTTACTACGACTAGTATCCTCGTCACAGTCCCGACAGTACAATGAGCAGTAAAGTTATTAAGTTAAGATCTTTCTCATCTTATCATTAGCAAAAAATAGGCTAACTAAAAATATTCCCCTGGATTTTTAGATCGTCTAAAACGTTTAATGAATTTTAATTAGACGATCCACTGCACACTATTTTGAGATAAGGAATTCACCTATGGCAGCATAATAACGTTTTTGTAGTATGGTTACAACATTTACCTAAATAGCATTGTCACTTAGAGTTACTTCACTGTTTATTTCATGTGAACCATTTACTACACATAATGTTTATATACAATACGTATTAGAGTTCAGAATATCTAAAAGTTCACTTTTGGATTTTTTTGCAAATTTTATGCTACTTATAATTGACTTTAAAGACGCGTTTGCCTTCATCAAAATTCCTTTTTCAAGGGTATGGTTTGACTTAATTACTTTTTGTTCCAATACTAATGAGTTTGTATTATTTTATAAAAACCAAAATTGTACGGTACAGTATACTGAGTATGAAAGATTTTCGCTCATGAGGCGCCATGCTATTTAGGCCTCTATTATTTGACAAACCTCAATAGGCAGTAATTACTGTAACGAAGCAGGGCAATTATTATTAACCGATTGTGAGCCAAAATGATTCTGTTTGTGCTGTGTGTGTGTTCCAATCCTATTCCGTCTCGAAGTGGAGTTGACTCAAGCTATCATTTATACCTGAATCAAACCATTTAAAAAGATATTAAATTGGATAACAAAAAAACTTAGATATTAATTCAAAAATTAGACTGAGTTTATATTATTTGGCAATACTGGCTTCGTTTTTGATTTAGGCCGTTTATTTCATTCCAAGGTCGTTTCAGTTCACTGAAGACCATAGAATTGGAATGAAAACATTCCAGAACGGAAAGTATCCGGAACTTTGGCCGTAAAGTTAGCCATTAAGATGCGTAGTAACGTAAGGCGCAAGTCTTTAAGAGTGTTAGGTATTACACTGTGCTCGGCTATTAGCTAGGCAGAAGGCAATGCGCCTCTAATTTGAGGCATAGATAAAGGACTTTTGAAATTTCTATTCTTTATTACGCATGAGACTATTCAGACTCATTCACTTTGGGTTAAAATTTTGTTCCTATCTCTAATCTTCTCGTTTACGACGTCACTGGTTTGCATTTGAGAACTGACAATACCGAAATTGATTCGTAATTACTTATCGCGCAGTGATTAGCATTTTATATCTGTATTTATTCGTGACTCATTCACATTGCGTTAAGTTTTTGTGTCTGTTTCTTGTATTCTTATAGTGAACTTTTGGAGCCAAGCTATTTATAGGTATGACGTAATATGTAGTAAATAGCACATGTTCGTCTCCTACCACTGTAGAAGGATATCTAAAAAATCTAAGTAAAAAGAAAAATTCAGGAATAATAAATGTATTCCTTTTGGTTTGGACAAGAAATAGAATTAGGCGTAGAGACTACATGGGTTGCATAATGTACGATGTAAGTCGTACGAGTGTCACTAAGCTGAACTCATTGTTCCGCTAGCCACTAAGGCAGTGCGGTTTTCATTTGCACGTAGGCAAGATTTTCTTTACATTTTGTACTTGACAACAGATATTACCCAAATTAGTGCGCTTTAGCTCATTGAGCAGCGGACCATTGCGTTTCCTATCCTTCATTAGTGATAATGCTATGGAGGCTTGAGTTTAGGGATTGTAAATTTGTATAAATTGTTGGTGGTGCTTACATTATATTGTTTCCAAACAGTAGTAGTAACCAATAATAAACAAGACCGCATTGAACTTGTCCATCGTGCCTTGATATAGAGACAGCACAGCGCTCGCAGAGTCTCACAAATTTTTGGAGCACTACTTTCGAGGGAATTTATTCTCCTGAACTCTTACATTTACGGATGAAGCTTCTTATTAGATCCATTTGCTTCCGTCTCAAATATTGTTCCTAGTTGTGGTCTTTTTAATTAGAATCTCCTATAGCTACGAATAATTCTGACCGTCTGGACTAAAAGGGTTTGAAAACCGAAATAAACATTTTGGACATATCTTTACAACTCAATTGCTTCAAAGCAATTAAAACCTCAGTCGGCGCGCAATTGGTTATTAGAATCTTAACTTTAAAGTAGATATTGATACCGCATCATCGTCTGATCCACGGACAGATCATACATGGATTAGCGATAACCGCGACGGTTGTTACATGCATACGTCATACAATAATAATAATAAGATGGCCCGATATTCGAAAATAGTCCACGTGGAGTTGATTGACAGTTCGCATTTTCACAAATCTAATACTATTATAATATTACAGTCCAATTCGCGGAAGTACTCTGCGTGAATTTGATTGACGGCTGTGACTGTTGCAGGTGTCATGAAATATTTAGAATTCTCGAAAATAGTCCACGTTGACTCAAATAAATTGTCATGGGCTAATCTGAAAGCTCGTATTATATAATATTTACAATAATATAACTTTAATTTCCAATAACCAGTCACATGAACCTATTACATAATTTTTGCATTTCCTCGTTGTTTCTTTCTAATAACCAATCATGAAGGTTGTACTATGCGACATCCGCAGATGCCAGCTCCAGAAATCACATAAAAGGGCGAGAGCCTCGTCTCTAGGCAACTAGCTACCTCAGCTACCTCTCCTCTCTTCCTGCAAAGCTGCCTAGCTGTAAAGCTAACCCAACGTAGCAGCAAAGCTATCGAACATAGCTGCAAAGCTACCCAACCTAGCTGCAATGCTACCAATCATAGCTGCTAAGTTGTTCAACCTTTATCGTCATCTTGTCTGCAGAAACCCCGGGCCCAGAAGACTCGACCCTTCTGCAGGAATTATTTGGCTCTTATTTGGACAGCGATTGGAAACTAAACTAATTGTGTTGTTTTTCTTTTGTTTATTAATTCATTCCATTTTGTTTTAATTTTTATTATTCACATTTATGTTGTCTTCTTCTTTGTTATTCACAAATAGTTTTTCGTATTAAATAAATGTTTGGTTAATGCTCGGTTAGTTTTCATTTCATTTACTAAATACCACCCTTTATCACAAATCAATAAATGAAAATGGTAATAATATGTACTTATATGACAAACAGTCAACGTTTAAGGATACTTACCGACGCTAGAATCTTAAAAGAACGACTTGTAAACTGTTGTGTCTCCTTGCTCCATTTTGCCTCATAAATAGCCCTGGAAATAAAATTATTCTTGTAATAAATGCCACTAAATAATTGTTGTCAATTTCATTAGAGTATACAACTACTTGTAACTGTCATCATTATAAGGTCACCAGTCCTAACAATGGTTGGACACGAACCTCCACTCATTCTTATCCTGAGTTAATCTTCGCATTTCCCTAAAACTCGAACAATTCATGTCCTTAACTATGTGCTAACAGTAATCTAATCTAGATCTATCTCTATCCCTCCTAAATCCCGTTTCTGTCTCTAATATGTCTCTGACTAGACCTTCATGCCTGAGGTGTCCTAGTAACTTATCTCGCCTATTTCTTATTGACTTCCATAGAGTCATCTGTTCTCCTACTCTTTCTAATACCTCTTCATTTTTAACCTTCTCCATCCACGGTATCCTCATCATTTGTCTGTAACACCATATTGCGAACGCGAACTTTTTCTTTTCTGCCGCGCCCGCTGTTTTGCATCTGTACAGCGGTGCGCACCAAACATACACATACACCTTTAACAACTTTTTTCGAATTTCTAAATTAAACGTAACTATAATTAATTCTTATTAAACTTCGTGGATAACATCGCTCACAAATTTCACTAAATTAAAATTGAAGGTATCTTTAGCTGAAGAAGCCAATTGTTTGGTGAAACAATTGTTTTGAACTGTTAATGTAATTTTTTTTGAATCTTTACTTTCTTTTACTTTATTTGATTATGGAGTTTCAACAAGTAAAACCTTCTACCATTAATTATTTCACTAAATTCATCCTTATATTATAAATTGTCCATGCTATGGTTATATTACACGCGTTATCCCCTGTTAGTATATTAATATTCAGTTTTGCGTGCGTTAGCAAGCAAAAGAGGAATTAAGTGATTAATTGAAAACTTGTATTTTCAGTTGTTAATTTTTGAATGATGCAAGATTCCTACAAGATTAACGGAACCCTCTATGTAACTCTAATGTTGTTAGAAAAATAATTATGCATATAGGAATAAAATTTGATGAAACCTCTTAAAAACGACAAAATATTGATACGTCTTCAATGTCTTCTGCTGGTTTCAGGCAGACACTAAAAATTTCCTTTCTTCCAATATTAGTTTAAATAGGATCTCTTTTGCAGGACAATTTCAAAAAAAAGAATAAAACATTAAAAACACGAAATGTGTGCTGGGACACATCGTAGAAGTGAAACTCCAACGGACAAGTGGAAAAACGAATGGCAACAAAATTATTACTTCAAGTTTTACAGGCAGATTATTAATGTATTTGTCCTATTTGAAAACCGGACAAAATTTTTACTTCAGGTTTTACAGGCAGATTGTTAATGTACTTGTCCTATTTGAAAACCAGACAAAATTTTTACTTCAAATTTTACAGGCAGATTCTTAATGTACTTCTCCAATTTGAAAACCAGACAAAATTTTTACTTCAAATTTTACGGGCAGATTCTTAATGTACTTCTCCAATTTGAAAACCAGACAAAATTTTTACTTCAAATTTTACGGGGGCAGATTGTTAATGTACTTGTCCTATTTGAAACCCTGTCCGCAAATTTTATTGCGATTCGTTTTACCACTTGTCCGTTGCCATTCGTTTTCCCACTTGTCCGTTGACGTTTCACTTCTACTGTGTGTCCCAACACACATTTCGTTTTCATAATGTGTACTGCAAATTATGACTTGATTTTTACACAGACCGCAAATAGAGGCAATGATGCTAAGTCACGTGGAGAGCAGAAGTACGAAAACAGCAGCTGAGCACAGCAAACGCCGCCGGGACTCTAGCGGACTCCCCGCTCTCCTTGTGGCTGCGCATTATATCCATCTAATATAGCCATTACTTTCTCTCTCCGCCGCTACCAGCCTTTCTCTCTCGCCGCCGGTGCAGGTTCTCTCCACGCGATATACTGTCTACCCCCTTCACACGACTGTAACGCTTTTTCGTGACAGAAAAAATCGTAATACCCCGTCTATATCGAAGTTTCACTTTAAAAAGATAGAAAGTACAATAAGGACGCACTTATTGATTATATAAGTAGTTAAAATTTGTTCAAATAGATGGTGTGTTAGGTGGATAGAAACGTAAACACGTGTCTCATGTATTGTTTAGTATTTTTGCTTATTTAAGTTATAAATAAAAGGTGACTGAAATAGATAACCTCAATAGTATGAGTATTTTTTGCATGCATAATGTTTATTATCACCCATCTTGCGCTCCCAGAGCTGTACCGAGAGAAGATGGATCTTTTGAAAAATGTTTATCTCCTGCAAAGCAAAACATGATAATAAGACCTGTCTCCCCTTCAACAACCAAATTGTCTATCGAAAAATATATTACAAAATCAAACAATGAAATGATAGCAACATAACAAATACACAGTCTGAAATTGAAAACTTAAGGATCAGATGACACAATTTGATGAAAAACTGAAAGATGAAAATGATGCAAGAAAAACAATGTTGGATAAAAATGACTTAGTAACGCCTCTATTGAAAGTAAGGTAATGGATGAAATTTTTGAAAGGAAGCTAAAAATTAAAAATATCTTCCTCATTAACCTACGACAAAAAGACCAAACTTACAATACGTGCAAAAATTATTAGTGAATACTAAAAAAAACATCACTTAAACAAAAAAACCAAAAAAATCTCAAGCTTAGTCTCTGGACGAATAGTTAGTTTAATGACCATTAAGTGCGATTATCAAAATGTGCGCAGTTAAAAAAAAAATAAGATTCCTAGTTTTAGAAATGCATTGCTATCAACCTCCACACCAATTGATGTAGTATGGTTGTGTGAAACCTGGTTTGATGATTCTGTTGGTGAAGATGAAATTATTTTCAATGTGTACTTTACCATGAGGTGTGATAGAAACCTTGGTGAAACAGGGAAAGTAAGAGGAGGAGGCCTAATTATGCTAATAAAAGAATAATGTTCATATAAAGTGATACAAAGTTGTAACTTCCATCTTGAGTTGTGATTGATTATGGCATTGAGATACTTGTTTTTACAATGGAATACTTGCCTCCTTTCTAAACAGTTGATAAGGATGTTTACTCTCATTCAACATAGATGTTTGTGGATGAAATACTTAGCAGCAACATTTATTACTATTTATCCAAATGCTCATCATGTAGTAATGGGAGACTTCAATTTGTCGGGTTATGTATGGAACATGAGTGATGGCGCCATTCAACTCTTGAGCTTGAATATTGCCATTTAGTAAATTGCTTATCTTCCTCAACTAAATATACTCTCAGTTCAGTTCATCTTTGTCAAGAAATGTGCCAAACAACTACTTGCTCCATTGTTCAAGTTGTACAACCGATCATTGGACAAGGATATATTCCCAAGTAAATAGAAGGAGTCGTTTGTTACTCCTGTTTTTAAAGGTGGTGACTCATCTTTGGCCAGCAACTACCGTCCTATATCCAGAGTACCTGTGTTTGCAAAGATTCTTGATGCCTTAGTTAATGCTACATTATATAATTTTCTCGAAAAGTTCATCGATTATCGACAGCATGGTTTCATTAGCAAGAGATCAACTGAAACAAACCTTGCTGTTTATACAGAGTTTGTGTCAAGGTCACTAATTGTTGGTATTATATCCGTGGTATCTCCAAGAATAACTTTCGATGTAGAAAGAATTTTATTTTGTAAAAAGTTACAAAATTAATTTACAACTAAATAACTGTCGAATCAAGAAAATTACATTTCGTCTAGTTTCTAAGTAAACATTAACAACTGCCAAAAAACAATTTCATACAATACTTGATTAATAATAACAACGTTTTTAGATTAGGCAGAATTGACATGTGACAATTTAGAAGAGAATTACTAAATTTAAACAATTCTTTGATTTATCTCAACACTAATGAATAGGAATCAGGTTGATGTGATCTATATGAATATGACAAAAGCATTTGACACAGTCAACTATGATCTCCTTATCGATAAGCTCCAATGTTATGCTGTTACAGGGTTATTGCTTAATTGGTTGTTTCCGTTTCCAAGAGAACGGTCCTCACGTGTGATCTTAGGCGGTTATATATCCAACGTTTTTGGTGTAATACCAGGTGTCCCGCAGGGATCCCGCTGTGGGTCCCTGCTGTTCTTATTATACATTAATGTATCCTCTGTTGTACTAAATTCCAATATTTTGGAGTTTGCAGATGACCTAAAAGTTCTTAAAAAATTGGATATCTTAAATGACTGTCAGGGACTTCGGGAAGATGCATCAAGACTGTGCAAGTGGTTCTATAATGGAATGGAAGTAAGTACTAAAAAGTGCTGTGCTATTTCCTTCTGTAGGAGTATGATCAAGATTCAATATAAATTAAAGCAGTGTATTATTTATAAAAATGGCGGCAGATGTAGAGCTAGGTTCGTTGCCGTCTCCGATACAATTTAAGTGTTGCAAAGATAAACAAAAATCGGGAGTTTGTGTTTGCCTGTTGTGTAGTTCAGTATTTCATATTAGTTGTGCAGAAAGAAAAAAAAATACAAGGAGTTGGTGGAATATTTGTAATTTGTGGGTGCAATGATGAACTAACGTCCAAACTAGCAAAATACATCAGATTAAATCAGAGATCTCAAGATATTGTGTGTAAATTAGTAAATGTACTGGATAAATGCAATAATGATTTGTTGTCAGCACAGGAGAGAAAAGAATACTACAAAAAAGAAAGTCAATGTCTCAAGGCTGAAATAAACAGATTAAATCAATTGAACTCAAATCAAACTGAAAATATTAATGAAAATAATCAAACCGAAATAGATAATTTAAAAGAAAAGAATCTTATATTGATAGAGCTAAATAAGGAACAGAAGAGCAAAAATGATCTCCTAGAACAACATATTGAACTGATAAAGCAGAAAAGCTCTTATGCTCATGCAGTAAGAGGACATACCAGTATGCCTAATAAAATGTTTACAAGTCCGAAAGAAAAAATGACTGAAATAGTAATTAAAAGTGATAAACATGAAGAAATTGATGAAA